TGATGATGGAAACAGGGAGGATGATGGAAACAGGGATGATGAGGACAGGGATGATGATGGAAACAGGGATGGTGAGGACAAGGATGATGAAGGAGACAGGGATGATGATGGAGACAAGGATAATGGGGACAAGGACGATGATAGAAACAGGGATGGTGGGGACAAGGATGATGATGAGAACATGGATGATGATGGAGACAGGGATGATGATAAGGACAGGGATGATGATGGAGACGGGGATGATGATGGGGACAAGGATGATGATGGGGACAGGGATGATGATGGGGATAGAGATGATGATGAAGACAGGGATAGTGACAGAGCTGTACACCAGGACAACAGCCAGGAGAACATTCCAGAGGCATGAGGATAGGGATGGGGAGCCGACTGGGGACCCGCCCTGCCCTCACCTCGTCCTGCAGGTTGATCTCAGTGGCTCCCTTGTTGAGCTGCTCCTGCAGGCTGGACACCACCGCGTTGTTCCCGGGCACACGGTAGATCCCCATGTACTCCAGCCCCCGGTCCTCCACCACCTTGCAGCAGGCTTCCACGATCAGGGGCACGTTCTGCGGGGACAGGGAGGGGGTCACGGGGTGCCAGGGGGGGCGCAGGGACCCCGAGGGATGGTGGTGCCAGCCTGGCTGTACCTTGTTGTCCGGGGCAGGCTGGCACTCCTCCAGCCTCACGCCGAAGGCGCGCGGGGCAGACTTCTTGTTCTTCTTCATGATGTTGATGCCCCACGGGGCTTTCTGGGAGCTGCTCTCATCTGGGGAGGAAAACCCACCGGGTTTTTCCCATCCCGATGAGCCAGGATGAGCGGGAAGAGCATCCCTGCTGCCCCACAGGGATGGCAGTGCCAGGGGGAGACCCCCGCCCCTCCTCACGAAGCCTCCTCACACCACACACCTTTCGTGACGGCCGCATCCTGCCGGGGGGACCGGGGCGCGCTGGTTCCCGTCTGCTTCAGGAACTCCGCTCGGATCCCCAGCCCGCGAGGGCCCTTGGGTGAGGAGGAGTCGGGCTTGGTGCCCGCGGGGCTGCGGGGGGAGAGCGGGGGGGGCTCAGGTGGGGCAGGGCCGGGGGGGCACCAGCCCGGCGCAAAAACCTCCCGGTAAAAACGCCGGCATCGCTCCCGGGCTTCCTGGCATCCTACGGAGACCCCCGGGGAGCACCGAGCTGCTTCAACCCTGCTTTAATTTGCCAGGTGCCACCTCGGCCGAGCGGGACCCCGCGGCGCCCGGAGCCAAGCCGGGCACGGGCGGCACTTCCATCACTGCCCCAATCCTGGGAGCCGCTGGATTTGCTCCGTCACTGCCAAACTGAGGTGACCAAAGCCCCGGGGGTGTCGGAGCCCACCGCCCCGGTCCGTACCTCACTTTCCGGTAGTCGTTTAACTTCTTGTTGATAAGTGCTTGGCTGGCAAAACCGGGGTCCTGGGGAGGCAGAGAGAAGAGGGGAAGGGAGAGCTTGAGCAGCGCGTCCGCCGGAGACCCCGGGCAAGTCCACGCTCTGCCAGGCACCCCACGTGGGGCCAGGCAGGAGCAGGCAAGGGCAGCACTCGGGTCCCTGCTGCCCCAGAACGGCCAGGCAGGAGCAGGAAGGGCAGCACCAGGTCCCCGCTGCCACAGAACAGCCGGTGCCCGCCAGTGCTCGCCACCCCACTGCAGCGTCCGTCGCTCTGTGCCACGTGTCCGAGGCAGACACGGAGGCCTGGGGATGTGCCTGTCCCCCCACGGCACACAAACACCTTCGCCGACCCGCGCCAGGCACAGCCGCTGCTCCCACACAGCATCCACAGCCACGGATCCATCCCTGCGGGATCCCGGCCCGTCCAGAGGCACCACAACTCCGGGGTTTGCCCAGACGGCAACACCAGCACCGCTGTCCCCGCCAGGCCCACGGCACCCTCCGGTGCAGGGCTGTGCCACCGAGAACCAGAGACTGCTCCCAGCTCAACGTGCCCCACGGGGCCGGAGCCTGACACGACCCTTCACAATCGCCGACACCAAAACGAGACACTGCAGCCCCGCGAGGGGACGGCACAGCCAGCCCAGCGCCGGCACATCCATCCCCATGGATCCTCTGCCGGAGCCCACGGCCCCCCAGGGACAGCTCTGCCCATCTCAGACCCGAGCAACACGCTAAACAGCCCACGGTTGTGCAGTGAGGGCTCAGCCCTGACCCGGCACCAGCCCCGGCGGCACCGCGTGGGCACCAAGCCCGGACCTCTCTCCATGAAAGAAGACACAACACATCATGGCAGAGACATGTCACACCATGGCAGAGCCACAACACACCATGGTAGAGCCACGTCACGCCATGGCAGAGCCACGACACACCAAGGCAGAGCCACGTCACGCCAGGGCAGAGCCACAACATACCAGGGCAGAGCCATGACACACCAGGGCAGAGCCACAACACAGCAGGGCAGAGCCACGACACACCAGGGCAGAGCCACACACGCTGCTCTCCCAAACACGAACGACAAAACACCACCGGCAGATCCAACAAGATCCAACGCCGGCCCTGCCTGGAACACACGGAGAGCCATGGCACCTCCGCCGAGCACCCCGAGCGCCCCGCACACACCCCGCCCTGGCCGAGGCCACGGGGCCACGCTCTTCTTGGACGCCGCGGCGCCCGCGAGCCCCCAGCGCCGCCCTGGGAGCGCGGCACGGGCCTGGCCGTGGCCTGGGGAAGCAGCACAAGGCAAAGAGCCGGAGAGAGCCGAGGCGGTTAGTGCCGGGAGAGCCAGAGGCAGCCGGGAGCCCCATGTGGCTCTCACCTCGCCCTCAGCCTTGCTGTTCTCCCTGATGACTTTGATCCAGGCCAGCATGTCTTCCCGATCCTCTGCCTGAAAGAGATATTCACAGAAGTCAGCGGTCGTCAGGCGGAAGACGTGCTTCCTCTTGGTCTCGCTGTAGGAGATGTCCACCAGGCACGCTTGGATGCTGATCGGCGGCTCCTCCTCACCTGGGGCCGGGGCGCAGGTCACCGCCTCCCGCCTGTCCTTGCACAGGTACAGCGAGTGGGTGCGCAGCACGGCGAACACGCGCTTCCACTGCCGGATACCTCCACCGACCTTCTGCGGGCAACAAGGGACGGGGCGCGCGCCTCAGGGCTGCTCGAGGCGGGGAGCGTCCCCCCCCCCGCGCGGCCGCCGGGCTCCCGGGGGGGAGCACCCGCCTACCTTCCCCTTTTTGGTGAGGATCTGCTTGCAGTGGAGCCAGCCCTCCTTCCTCACGGCGCTGAACGGCACGTCCGAGAGGTCGGAGGTCGAGTGCCTTTTGGAACGGGCGTCTTCGGACGCGCCGAGGCTGTCCAGGGACTGCCGGGGGGGGAATGGAGGGAGGTGTTGGGGTGCCATCCACACCCCCTGCTCTGCCAGCACCCCACCAGGCAACCCTTCTTCGGGGGCACCCCCAGGACCCCCAACACAACTCACCCCGTCGGTGAAGAAGCTCCTGAGCATGCGGAGGCTGGGGACCCGGCTGGGCATCCTCCTGGGGGGGAAAGCAGCCCCCGTCAGCGGGACGGTGGGGAGGGTGGTGGGGCCGGGACCGGGAAGGGGGGAGTGCGTCCAGCCCTACCTTAGGATCTTGGCCTCGTCCCGAAATGCGTTCAGACCGTCGTCGCAGGACTTGGAGCGCTCGGTGGTGATGGCCAGGAGGTAGGACGAGCGGCGGCCGGCCTTGATGCTGCCTGAGATGGGGAGGGGGGCAAAGCCCACCCTGGTCAGCCCCAGGGGCACGGGACACAGCTCCGGGGTGGGGGGCTGCTCTCCCCGTGGCCCCCAGGACGGTTCTCCCCCCACCCAGCACTTACTGCAGTCCTGGGAATAGTGCCGGGACAGGGCGAAGGCAAAGGTGGGTGACGAGGGGCTGGTGGCGACGGCAGGCGCTGAGTTCATGGCGCTGGAGACCACCGAGGAGGCCGGGATGTGCTTGGCCTTCAGGTCGATGCTGGGGCTGGTGGGTTCGTCTGCGAGGGGGGTGGGCAGTGTTGTAGGGGGTGTTGGGGCAGGGGACATCCCTGCCGGGACCCCTCAGCACTTCTGCCCCGTGGTGGGTCTGTAGGTGTCTGGGTCGGGCTGGGGGGACACACTCCCACCCCCGGCAAAGGCAGGAGCTGCCGGTGCACCCAGACCCTCACCCACAGCACCGCTGCACCCCCCAGCCCTACTCCTCCCAGCCCTACTCCATCCCTTCCCTTCCCATTCAGCCCAGGGGTCCCTCCCTGGGAGCAAGCACAGGACAGACCTGTGGCTCCTCCAGACCTATTTGGGACTCACCAATGAAGGGGATGGACGCCAAGGAGTCCTCGGGGGCTGCCAAGGGAGCCATGCGCCGGCCCGGCCGCTCGGCCACCGGCCTCTCCCCTTTGCCCCCGGGGGCCGAGGGCTCGCAAATGTCCGTCTCCTTCACCCCCTCGGGGAAGACAAAGTTCATCTGCCGCAGCGGCACCGGCACCTTGCGCCCCGTGGGCGGCTTCTGCCGCAGGACCACCTCCTCCCTGCGCTCCTCGGGCTGCTCGGCCGCCCGGCCGCCCTCCGGCCGCTGCTCCCGGGGCGCGGCGGGGGCGGGCAGCGGTGGCACGGGGGTGACCATGCTGTCCGTGAGCGCCCGCTGGGCGATGCTGAAGGTGGGCAGCCCCCCGAAGGCCGGGTCGCGGAAGGACAGGGCGTGCAGCAGCCCCGTGCGGCGCTGGAAGGACGGGCTGTAGCTGCGGTAGCCGATGTACCCCGAGTCGTCCACGCTCTGCAGGTTGGGCTGCGACGGGTGTTTCTGCACCGGCGGCGGCGGCGCTGGCGGCTCTCGCGAGGAGGAGGATGAGGAGGAGGAGGCGGGCGCGAAGGAGCCGTGCGGGACGGGCTGCCCGGCGCTTGGAGCGGCCCGGCAGAGCCTCTCGGGCGGCCACGCCGAGCGGTCGAGGTGCGGCGGGAGCAGCGCCCGGGGCTCCAGCGCCTCCATGGAGCGCCCGTACCTGCCCAGGGCGTGGTCGGAGCGGGCGCGGGGGGCCCAGCCCTCGCGGGTGGGCTGCAGGAGGGTGTCGTGCGAGGCGCTGTGGGGCCACCCCCGGTGGGCCGCGCCCGCCGGGCCCCCCAGGCGGTCGTGGGACGCGCTGCGGTAGCGGGGCAGGGCGTGCCGGCGCTCCTCCGAGGCGCTGCGCCGCGGCTCCCGGCTGCAGAACCAGCGCGACAGAGCCTGCTGGCACTCCTGGCGCCCGGGAACGTGCTGGGGGGGCCGCCCGGCCCCCGACAGCCCCCCGACGGCCTCCTGGAAGCCGCAGTGAGTCCGGTGCTCCGGGAGGTGCTTGGGGGCCGCGGGGGACATCCCGTAGCGGTCGGGCACGGAGGGTGCGGCGCTGCCGGGGCAGCCGGGGCGGGAGAAGGAGCCGGGGTGCCCGTGGGGGCGCGGGGGGGGACCCCCGGGCTGCGGGTCCTCGGGGCGGTGTGCGGGGCTGCCGCCGGCGTCGCTCCGGGGCCCCGTGGCAGAGGGGTGGTGGGCGCGGGGGTCCGGCGGCTGCCCCGGGGGGGGCTCGGCACCCCGTGCCTGGAAGGGGTACGTCTTCCGTGGGTAGCAGATGGGAGGGGGCTCGGGGATGCTCTGCGCCCCGCCGGAGTACGGCTCGTTGCCCTTCAGGTAGGCGTCCTGGGAATATGCCTGTGGGGGGACAGGGGGTGGTCAGGGTGGGGGGACGGGGTCACAATCCCCCCATTCCCACTGTAGGAATGATCTCTGCTCCTCCCTACCCGAGCTGTGCCAGCCTGGTTCCTGCCACCCTGGTCCTGCTTTCCCATGGGGTCCCCCCCCAGCACCAACCCCAGCCCTTCCACTCTCCCCTCCCCTCCTTCCTAAAATACCCCGGCGTGGCCGGCCCGGCTCTCCCATCTCACATTTCACAGGCACCTCTGACTCCATGCCGGGGGATTCCCAGAGCCCGGAGCAGGCACAGATGGGTGACACCCCCCCCTTTGCCAGGGCTATAAGACCCCCCAAACTCCATAGGAATGGGACCCCCAGGCTGGGGACAAGCAGTGGTGTCACCTAATACCCAAGACAGGACCAGAGGAGCACCAGGAGAAGCCCCTCCCACATCCCTTGGCTCAGGCCACCCTGCAGGGTCATTGTCACCCCCAGATCCCAGCTCACCAACAGCAGAGTCACCTGGGGTGCTCCAAGGGTAAGTCAGACCCTGAGACCCAGAGCAACTCATCCTCCAGCTATGCCCCAAAAAACAGAGGCCGTGTCCCCCATGTTCCTGCCCTGGACCCCTGGTACCTCCATCTCTGCACCCACTGATCCTCCCGGGGTGCTGATGGAGCCCTGTCCCCAAGTGTCCCCAAGAGTCCCTGGCACCTGCCTGGCAAACTCACCAGCTGGAGGATGTCCTCATCCTTGGGCATGATGGAAAGCTCCAGCACATCGTCACTGGGGAGAGGGGACAGAGGGGTCAGGCCGGACGGGGTCGGTCCCCACCCGCCCCCAATCTCACCCCCACGAGATGAACGTCCCCATGGCCACGGGACGGTGACAGCTCGTCACTGCCTGTCCCTGTTCCCCTGCCTGGGGGCTCCTGTCATCCCGGTGACACCCAGGGGGACAGTGCCTGCTGTGAGGTGTCCCCATCCCGCCACCTCCCACCCGCAGGAAGGGGAACTCACCTGTTCTGGATCAGCGCGATGACCTGTGAGTAGGTTTTCCCGATGATGCTCTCCCCGTTCACCTTGACCAGCCGGTCACCTGCAGGGCCCCGGGAGGGCACAGTGTCACCACGAGGCCGTGGTGGCACCTGGATGTCCCCACGGTCGCTCACGGCAGGGTTTGACCGGGGATTTTGCCAAGAGGAGCCACGGGGACCCCAAAACCAGCCCGACCCACGGGGACCCCAACGCTGCTCTGAGCAGAGCAAGAGAGCAGAGCACTCACAGGGAGCAGAGAGGAGGAGGAGGAAAAAAGAAGGAATGCAAGAAAAAGAGCGAAATAAGCAGGGAAGTCCCTGGCAGAGGAGGCGGAGCATCCCGTGGATCCCAGGAGCTGCCTGGAGCCATCTCCAGCCCCGTGTCCCCACTCACCCGTGCGCAGCCCGGCCTGGTGGGCCGGCCCGTCCTCCCGCACGTTCTTCACGAAGATGGTGTCCATGGGCTCCAGGCGGGTCCGGGGGGGACCTGCTCCGTGGGGACACAGGATCAGGGAGCTGCCAGCACAGCCACGGCAAGGAGCACGTTTGGCCCCTCGTGGTCACCTCGTCGCCTCCTCCCCCAGCCCTGCCCTGCGGGCACAGATCCTGCCCAGGGTGAAGCCCAACACTCAGGGGCAGCTCCTGGTCCCCGTCACCCCCAGTCCCCTGTGAAAGACCAAAAGCCACCGGGTGCCGGGTGGGCACGGAGCCCACGAGGGATTCCAAATCCCCCTGGGACCACCCAGAGCACGAGGTCAGAGCCCCCCGGCCCTGCTGGGTGCTGGGTGCTGGTTCTGGCAGCGCCGCCCGCTCCGGCTCCCCGGGGACTGTGACCCCGACGCCGCGTCACCGCGCCAGCGCCGATCCGTTCTGACACCTTCACATTCACTCACGTCACCGGGAGCCTCCAGGAGCTCAGCGGGGCCGTGTCCCTGTCCCCAAACACCCCGTGCTCAGCGGGGGCTGGCGTTGGCCACTCCGCAACCCCCCCCCCCCTCCCACTGCGGGCACCCACCCCCGGGCGTGATGTCCAACAAACCTCCCGAGGGGTTTTGGGGACACCGAGCCCATGTAGGACACAAAGTGGCACCAAAGTGCTGCCAAAGCACTGTGTCACTTCACCTCCAGCTGAAATTTAGGGCTGTGGTGACAGCGACAGCCACAGCAGTGCCCACTGTGGCCTAAAACAGCCGCGTGCCCCCCGCGCCCACCCCGGGGGTCATGTGGCAGTGCCAGCGCTCACCTGCTCGGTTCCCATTCTCCTCCTCCTGCCAAGAGAAGAGAAAAGAGTTGATTTGGTGGTGGGGCCCGTGACGGGGGGTTGGCAGGGGCCGGGGTGGGGGGTGGCAGCCCCACGAAGCCCCCGGCGGGGCCGGCGCGTCCCTCTGGCCTCCGCCGCCCCCGGCTAAAATTACCTCCTGACACCGGATCCCGGCCGCCCGCGCGGCCCCGGAGGGCAGTGGGATCTAACGGAGCCCCCCGCACCCAGCTGATGGGAAAGGGGCCAGTTTTGGGGCAGGGGAGTGGGAAAAGGGCCCCGGGGTGGCATCTCACCCTTCGCCCGGGGCCACCAAGCCTGGGCAGGGAGAGACTGAGCCCCCACAGTGCGGTGCCAGGGGAGGGATCCATCCCATCTGTGGGATGAATCCTTGTCCCTCCCCGTCTCTGCAGCCTCCCACTGCTTGGGGTGGGCTGCCAGGGCTGCAGTGGGCACTGCAGGGGTTGGCAAAGGGGTCCTGCACCCCCTTCCCAGCCACGGGCAGGGGACAGCCCTGGGAGCCACGTGGATCTGTCCTGTGGGGTGGGAATTGTGCCAGTGGATCCCCACCCTTCTATCCCACATTCATCCGTGGGGACCCCCCAGCAGAGCCATGGCGCCCAGGGGGGTGCCAGGTTGGGACAGGACACAGGGGGGCTGCATCCACACTGCTGAGCCCCCAGAGCAGACACGGAGCACCCCGGGCTGCTCAGCCCCACACACGTGTCCCAAGGAGGCACCCGGGCACCTGGAACGGGAATTTTCACTCCACCAGTGCCAGATCCTTCCATCTCAGGGGGGATACACAAGCCTGGCCCCGTCCCCCAGCCAGTGGGGACACAGACTAATGTCCCCAGGGTGCTGGGAAGGGACCAGCGTCCTTCCCAGTGTAACAGGGGGACATTCCCAGCGAGGAGGAGAGGGCTGGAGCCATCACTCCCGGTGGTGGGAAGGAAGAGCCACATTCCACGGCCCCGGCACGCAGGAGCGGCTGCCACGGTGCCAGGGCAGGACCGTGGGGCCACCGAGAGCCCCTGGAGACACGGACTCACCCCCTCCCTGCCCCTCCCCGCCCCGCGGCATCCCAGAGCCCTTCCCGGCCCCCGGGGCATCCCGGCAGCCGCGCTCCCAGGGCCGGGGCCGGGGCGGTGCCGAACGCGGGAGCGCGTTCAGTGAACGCAGGCGGCACCACCGGCACCGTCACCCTCCTCCCTGCTGAGTCAACCCACCGAAACTCAGCCCCCGGACCTGGCCGGCTGCCGGCCCCCCGCGGGTGCTGAGCCAGCCCCGCCGCGCCCTGCCCCGCCGGCTCCGCGGCCCGCAGCTATTCCCAGCCTCTTTCCAAGAGCATCCCCAGCTCCCGGCGCTGATCCCGGCTGCTTCCTTCCCACGCGGCCGCCCTGGCAGGGCTCGGCCCAGGTGCCCAGCGGGGCAGGATGGATCCCTCCTCGCTCCTGGAGGATCCTTTGGAGAGGCGGGAGCGAGCGGGGGGGGGGGGTTGGAGGAGCTCCAGGCCGTTCCCACGGCAGAAGCAGGAGACGGGGCAGGTCCGTGTTCCCGAGGGCGGGAAGACAGGAAGGATTTTGGGGGAAGCAGAGTACGAGGAGCCTGGGAAAAGCGCCGTGACGGAGGATGCTGAGCGGGGATTCCGGCGAGTCGGTTCTCCCCCACCCTGTGACTCACTTCCCACCGCAGTTCCCTGTCTGCCAACGCCAGCCCTTGGGGCAGCCGGAGCCGTGGGGCAGCTCTGAAGCTCCCCAGGGGTGATGGGAGCATCCAGGTGCATCCAGGCTTGGAGCAGCGACGGATCACTTGGCTCCCAGACTCTTCTTCCTTCCTCCACGCAGAAAGCAGGGCGAGAAAGGGATTCCAAATTCCAGGAGGTTGGAGCTGGCTCGTCCCTTTGGGTGCAGAGGGCTCCATCCAGGCTGGAAGCTGCTGGGTGGTTTTTCATGGGATCCCTCCATCCGGGGGTGGGGGGAAGGTGCTGCCCCAGATTGGGGCTTCTTGGCGGTTCAGGGGGTGCAGGAGGGTCAACCCAAGGCTGAGTGCCCCCAAAAGGCAGCACCTGGAGAGGGTCTGGCTGCAGCTGGACACAGATCCCGGGGCAGATCCGGTTGGAAGGCTCCCACCAACAGCCAGGAGCCTGGGACCCAAAAATCCACTGGGCCTTGCTGGCCTTGAGGGCTCTGAAGTGCCTTTTCCTGCCATTCCCAGGGATGCTGGAGCCATCGTTGGGGGCTGAGGGATTCTCTCTGTTCCCACAAGCAGCTGTGTCCCATCCCAAAAGGATCCAGAGGCGCTGCTGATTCCCACATCTCCCAGTAGCTCCATGGGCTCCTCCATTCCAGAGGGGTGGGGGCAGCTCCAGGAACCCCAACGAAGCAGGTGATGACGGATGGTTCGCTCCTCACCTCCCAGAGCCCACCTGCCCACCCCCAGCCCAAACACTGCATCCAACCACAGCATTCCAGGGTCCCCAGGGCCCCCCCAGAACCCCCCAGGACCCCCCAGGACCCCCCCAGGACCCCCAGCCCTACCTTGGCCGAGTGCACGGCCGACTCCGGGGGGTACACGATGAAGTGGCGGAGGGTGAAGCCGAACCCCCCCTGGGAGCTCTTCCGCAGCACCACCGTCTTGGGGCCCACCCAGGGGAAGGACCCCCCCTCCGGGGGCACGTTGGCATTCGGGGATGCTCCATCTCTCCGGCCCGGCGTCGGCTGTGAGGGGGGGACAAGGACAAGATGTCACTTCTGGAGGCGGGGAGAGGGGGGGTACAGGTCCAGCCCCCCCCATGTGCCCACCCCTTGAGCTCTGCCCAAAAAGCTGCTCCGCTCCTAAGACACCCCCTCCCATCCCTATTCCTCCCTATTCCCAGCCCTCCAGCAGCAAATTCCAGCCCCCCACAGCCCACCTCCCCCCAGACTCCTCGCGTGGGACCTTCGGGAAGAAGATGAATGGGAAGGAAATAAAAATAAATGAGCTGTGCCTGGGGGTCTGGATGGGACCCAGGAGGAGAGATGGGGGCGGACGGACGGGGGACTTTGGGGACAAAAGGTCCCTTCTGGTGACGCCGTGGCAATAACCTTGGGCAAGCCGGAAGGAGTCGTCCGGGAGGTGATGGGATGAGTGATGCTTCCCGACCTGGCACCACGTTGGGATCTGGCAAGGGACGCTGCCCAGAGCAGCAGATGGGGCCAAAGGGGATGTGGCTCCATCCCACAGCTCCCAGTGCCAGCGCTGGGAGGGGGAACGGGGTTGTGGTGGAGCTGGAGCAGCCACGGGCATCTCTCCTGGCACCGAGGCAGGGAGATGGGAGAGGCATCCAGGAGTCCCGACACCCTGGCTGAGTCCAGGAGGGTTTTAGCACAGCCCCAGTGCTGCTCCCTGTGCCGCACATCTGGCTGCACATCTGGCTGCACATCCGCCAGCCCAGCTGGAGCGGGAGCAGCTCCGTGGCCAAGGGGAGGAGAGGGCACTGCCTGATGCCCTGGGAGCACCCAGCTCTGCTGAAACAGGAGGAACTGGGAATCTGGGAGCTGGAGGGACAGGCAGAGCAGCAGATCCACCAGGATCTGCTCCTTCCCTGCTGCAGCAGTTGGAATCAGCCCATCCTGGGACGAGGGTGTTAAAATTCAGGGGCTGTCTGGGTGGAAGCGATGGATGGGGAGCGGGGAGGGGACAGGGACAAGGGACACAAAGGGACAAGGCACAAAAAGCCTTTGTCTGTGCCTGTGCTGAGTGGGCCTTTTCGCTGCCGGTGGGGAGATCTGACGGCAGCTCGGCGGGGCCAGGCTGCACCCCCTGCCCAGCACGTCCCACATGGAGCCCACGGTGGGAACGGGGGTCCCGTCCCCCTGGGGATGGGGTCTCTGGGGTGAGGACATGCCTCTGGCACGAGGCATCGCACCCACCCTGCTGCACAACCTGGCAGGGAGGGCACAACCGCTTCGGGCGCTCCCACACCCCAAAAAAACCCCAAAACACAAAGAACACCCCAAACCCACCTCGGGAGAGCCGGAAAACCCCAATACCTCCCGACACCGCACAGGCAGCAAAGCCCCCCACAAGCCCTGAGCCCCCCCTGCCTCGCCCCCCCCCCCTGCTCGATCCCAACGGAAAACCCAACCCCAGATGGCAACAGGCGCCCTCCCGCTCCCGCGGGACCCCCGTCCCCGGGCGGCGGGGCCGGAGCATCCCGGCGGCGCCCGGGCCCATCTGCGCCCTCCATTGTGCCGGGGCCGCCGGCTCGCCGGATTATTTTTAAGCTGACAGCTGAATGTGCCCCGCTGATTTTAACCGGCACAGACAGGCCTCGGGGAGAGGGCAGGATGTGGATGCTCCGAGGAGACACCGACGGCGGCCCCCGGCCCGCGGGGACGGCGGCGCGTCCCCGTTGTCCCGTCCCCGTTGTCGTCGCGGCCGTGACACGGTGACACGGCCCCCAGGTGCGGCGGTGGCCCCGTCCCGCCCGCCGTGCCTCGGTTTCCCTCCTCGCCCATCCCGACTTGAAGCTTTTGTCGGGCTACAAAGCCCCCCCCAGTCGCGGGTTTGGATCCCCCCCCCCACGCTGGCCCGCGCCCCTGCAGATGCTCCTGTCCCACACCTCCCCCCCGCAGTGGGGTTGGCACCCAATTTGTCACCTCAGCCGTTTGTCCTCAGAGCCCTCTTCCTCCTCCCAGATTTTTGGCTTTATTTAACCTCATCCTGGCGGTTTCTGCTGCGACACCACCAGCTGCATCCTCATCCTCCTTATCCCAGTTCTCCTGGGCCCCCATCCCAGGGATGGGGAGGAACCCCTTGATCCTTGGCACAGCTTGTGCCAGTGGCTGTGACATCCAGACGCCCCCACCCAAGTCACCCTAATTCCCGCGAGGTCCTTCACCCCCCAGCAGAGGTGTCACCAGGTCCCTGCACCCCATGTCACCTCCCCACCCCCAGGGGGACACGAAGGGACAGGTAATTCCCGCCGGTGTCCCACTCCCGCAGAACAAAGGAGTGTTTTCCCTGCACCCCGGGGGGAGGGGGGACAGGATCCATCCCCCCTCCCGGACACGGCGAGAGCAAAACACCTTCACGAGCAGGAGGTTGGACCCCCACCCCCAACCCCAGCACAGGAGGGGATGAAGGGGACACACCGCAGCCCAGGAGCTGTGACAGCCCTCGGGCACACCCCACCCCGCCCTGTAGGACCCCCTCCATCCCTTCAAGGCGCCCCACACCCTCCAAACCAGGCGCGACCCCCGGTTCGCGGTTCTCACCCGGTGGCCCTTGTCGGTTCTCCCCCCTCGGCCGGGGCGGGGGGCCAGGGGCGGGCGGGGGTCGGGGGCGGCAGCGTGGCGGCGGAGGCTGCTCAGCCAGATGCAGCGGGGCTCGGGCGAGCTGCAATCCACCCCGACGGGGCGCTCCAGGCGCCAGCCCTTCCCGGAGCGCTCCACGCTCCACAGCCTTTTGGGGCTGGGGGCTGGCGGGGGGCGGCAGGGACCCCGCCGCGCCCCCCCGCCCGCGCTCTCCTCCACCATCCCGGCGCAGGGCTGAGGGGGCTCTCAGCCGGTGGTCAGCACCCCCTCCATGGGGTCCCGGCAGCCCCCCCTGGGTGGGCGGGGGGGTGGCGGGGCCGCGGCTCGGGCGCTGCGCGGAGCTCCCGGTGCGGCGGTGCCGCTCACACTCGCATCGCCGCTCGATCGCTCGCTCACAACTCCCCCCCCAGCAGCACAGCCCCCACCCAGCCACCCCCCTCAGCCTCCCGGATGGATGGAGGGTGGGATGGATGGATAGATGGATGGATGAAGGGAGGGAGGGAGGGATGGATGGAGGGATGAACCAGCCACACGTCCCGGCTGGGCTGGCGGGTTGGGGCTCCAGCTGCTGGCAGGGATCAGTGCCCAGCCCACCGCCCCCAGCCAGACCCCCGCCCCCAGCCCCCCCCCACACCCCCCGCGGTGTCACTTTGCCAGGACTTTCCCTTTTTTTTTTTTTTTTTTTCGTTTTTTTTCTTTTTTTTTTTTTTTTTTTTTTTTAATCCGCCCCCTTCTTCCTCCATCACCCCGGGCAGCATCCCACCCTCCCCGCTTCCTCCTCTCCCTCCTCCCGGCCCCTTCCTTCCTTCCTCTCCGCAGGGCACCGGGCGATGCCGGGGACGGGGAGAGGGACAGTCCGGGGGTCCAGCGTGTCCCCTCCCTGTCACCACCGGGGTCTGCCAGGGGGGAGCCAGCGGGGGCTCTCGGACACTCCAGGTCCCCTCTCTGTCCCCGGCATCCAGCAGGGACACACATCCTGCCCCAGCAGCACCCTCGGGACCCAAAGAGCCCCCCGGAGACCAAAACAGCCCTTTGGAGGCCAAAAATGTTACCCCAGAGACTGACACATCCCCCCCCCGGCCCTCTCTGCTCAGAGCCTGTGACAAAGAGTGGTGGCTCCAAGGGCACTTCCCACCAGGAGCTGAACCAAGAGTCCCCCCACAGCCCCATCTCCCGTTTTGGGGGCACCCAGGGCTGCAGGTCCCTGTTGTCCCGCAGGCACAGAGCCACCCGGGCTCCCCAGTCAGTGCTGGGGACACAAGGCACAACAAACCACCCTCCCCATGGGGACAACCCCCCCTTCCCCACCCCACACCCCCTCTCTGACCCCCTGCTCTCCACCACGGCAGCAAAAATATGGGAGGAATAAGGAAAAACAGCAGCACCTTGGCGAGCCCAGCACCCGCAGACACCCAGCCCGGGCCGGGGCTGGGGGTGGGCAGTGTCCCCCTTACCCCGGCTCCCCCACCCCGCGCTGCTGCCCGTCCCTGTCCCCCGCACGAGGGGGTCCCGCGCCGCATTCCTGCCGCGCTGGAGGCCGAGGAGAGGCACGTGCGGCCACGCCGGGGAAATGCCGGGCATTGCTGGGATTGCAGCCCCGCAGCCTCGGGGCCAGACACCCCCCTCGGCGCGTCTCACCCCCTCCTCTCCTCTGCCGCCTCCCACCCCACCCTCGGCCCCAGCCCACCAGGGTGATGCCACGCACCCGCGGTGCACCGGGCACCAGCGAGGGGACAGTCCCGGGGTGCGGTGACACACAAACTCTGTGCACGCTGGCGATGCTTTGGTCCCCAGCGCCCGCCCTGGCCAAGGTGCCGCAGCTCTGCCTCAAAACAGCCCCAGCGCCCACCCCCCAACCCCGCCGGGGGGGCTGCACCGACCGGCTCTGTCCCCCTCTGCCCACCCCCAGCACACCCAGGGCACCCTCACGGGGGAGAAACGGGGACTGGGAAACGTGGGAGCCAAATCCCCGCCATCGGCTCCGCCCCCGGGGCCACCCTGATGTCACCCGGTGCCTGTGCCGGGGGGTCTCCCGCGGGAGCCACCCCGGGGGACAGCCCCGTGCCCTCGCCCCAGCCCCGGGACAGGCGGCTGGCACGTCCCAGCACGCAGAGCTGCCCGGCCGGAGCAACAGGACGGGGCTGTGGGTGCGAGCGGCGCCCGGGGGGGGCTTCACCCTCCAGGTGAAAGGCGGCGAAGGGGCCCGGTGTGGTGGGCTGGGTGCCCCCGGGGGTCCTGGAGCAGCACCGGAGACAGCAGAGCCTCATCCTGCCACCTCCACTCAGCCTTTCCTGCAGCGCCCGGGCAGCCTGGGGGGGTGTGGGGAGGGGAGGGGGTCCCCAACCCCTCGGGGTGGGTGCACAAAGGGCAGGACGGTCCCCTGGGACTGTTCCCGCAGCCCAAAGCGGGAAAGGTCAGGCGGCGTTCGCGGGGGCAGA